CCTATACTAAGCTTGCTCTTGTACTGAAGATTACAATCATAGCGTTTACTTTCATTAACTTTGTTAAAATTATGCACTACATTCTTTGAAAAGCATGCGAAGATGCCTCTATTGTTTCATTATTCTGAAATGTTTTGGAAGCATCCTCCACAAAAATACTGAAGCTATGCATTAAACATCGCAGATCGCTCAGCAGAACCTGTTATCAAGTCCATCAGAGGACGACACAAGAGAGCAAAATCTTCACTTTAAAAGTGTGTGATTTTGTTTTCCAAATGTTTCCCTTTAAGTAGCTGCCTTTCTTGCTCATTAACTATGTCAGATCTCTAAGTGACCTATTACATCTTCTGCTCAATATTCCCAATCACAACTCAGAGACATGTTCCATGAATTACATGTTCCTTCTGTAACTGTATCCAATGAAAGAAGTGTCTTTCATATTAAGTCAGTCTTTTCTTCTAAAATCTAAATTTGTTTCACCCGCCCCAATCTCCCCTACTTAAAAGATTTCAGTGGACTGTGGCAGCAATGCACATTATCTTTTGCAGTTTCCCCATTTCAGCAATGACATAGCAACCAGCAATTTTCTGTACTCAATAACTGTTTGTTAAGCTCAATCATTTCCAAAATTGTGTCATTTTAAACACATGGTGAGTAAACCAGCTGCCCCAGCACTGTTTTGGGGAAAAAAGACAAGGTGACGAAAATCATTAGTGTGTAATTATTTGGTACAGAATTCAGGGACAATTATGATCACCTGCCTATTAATCTAGGTAATTAATAGATGCTAGGTTTTTGTTTGAAGTGACTGACAATTGTAAATTACACGGTTTTAAACTCACTGTGCTGAGAAGGTAAATGCATTTGGAGATGCTCATACTGATGGTCTACTTTTAGGTAGTGATGAAGACCACAGTTAAGTACAGCAAAGTAACAGTAAATTAAGTCACATTTGTTAAAAAACAAACTAAACCCATAATGTTGGGTGCCCTGTTTAAAAGGTGATTTGTGTATCCTCTCAACCTCTTACAACATAGCCTATAGGCAGCAATACTGGGAAATACTGAAATCCAAGACGTTTATTTAACCATTAACTGCTCCAACTTTGCAGAAAGCCTGGAATTTGTCAGTGCCAATAATAAAGCACAATTCTGAGCTTGGAATAGGCAAAAGATTGTCATTCCTGCATCCAACTACAAAAAAATACTCAATCTGAAAAGGGAAGCTAGTGGCATGAAAATACTATTCCAAAATAGTCCCAACAGAGGCAAAAATGCTTTTTGTGTACCAGAGTTTGTATTACCCATCTAAGGTTTCTTAAGCTACAGCACTTTCACTACTCATTTTAGTTACCTATTTTCATGCGTAATAATAAATTTCTAATTTTGTTGTAATTAATAATCGCGCAAAAAAAAGAAGTTAGTGGTTTCTACAAGCTTTCTTGAATAAATAGGACTCCTGAGAATCCACCTTTTGAGATCTGCTGCTATTTCAGTAGTTCTGACTAAATGACTGGGTGAGGAAAAGTGTCTTGTCTGATAAAAAATACAATAATGTATCTATTCTCAGTGACCTGTACTATTTTATTACAGCCCCTTGCTTATAACTTGGTATATTACGTACCAAAATGGAATTACACATTTCTGAGATAACAACATAATACTTAATCATGGACAGGTGCAAGTAAAGTTTAAGCCAGCAGATGATGATCTTAAAAACTGTATTTTTTTAAAAGCTATATTCAAATGAAGTTATGAGACCCAGCTGATTGTTCAAGTACTAGATTTCAGAGGAGAAGTTTTTCCTCTCACTACTACACCTGGGCATATGTATCAACCTGTGCATGGGGAGCCTGATTGGAGTGAAACTGCTACTTGCTCCTTATGACCTCTCCAGAGCAGTTCCTTGGCACAGCTTGGTACAACTGTTCAATAAATGCTGCAGGGAAAAGCTGGATAGGTTTTGATCTAGGGTCCTCTATTTCAAAACTAAACAGCAAAGTCATGCTCTACTGAGGCTGAGATGTGCTGGGCACAGTTTCTGGAAGATACATGTACTGCTGGCTGCATTGCTACACGGCACTCCTGTATCAAAGTGGAGCATAGTGCCTTGAAGCTGGAGAATCTGAGACCACTGAGAGGTGGAGCCTAATTGAAGGGTGTGATGAAGCCTAGTCATTGAACATAAAACACTGAGGGATGGTCGTCACAGAATATGCCATCTCAATGCCATGGACCTAATGGGAGTCAGATGATGGTTCATACCGCTGACAGATCAAATCTGAAAACAGGAGTGCTAAGTAAGTTCTTCCTGAATGTCTCAGCCTACAGGAGGGTGTTTGGGTTTTCATTTGTTTGTCAACATAGGATTCCATTTCCCCTCCAAATTACACTAATTTACTTCAATAATTTAACTATAAAAATCTGAAAAAAAGTTGTTTACAGATACAATATCAGCCTTTTTTTGCTATAAGGCATTAACTTCAGACTTTTCAATCTCTGAAAATATTCGAACATACTGAGCATTTTATTCATATTGAATAAAAACGGGGAAATAACCCACCTACACAATAGCTTTACAAAAATAACTCTTGTGTTAGTTTTTGTGAGAAATCTATACAGTGTCATTAGAGCTCTGACACACTGTTCTACCCTCCTGTTTTCCTATTAAGCTATATTCATTAGACTGAATGACATGAGAAAACACAGTGAGAAAAGTCAATATGATTTTGGCAAAAATTAAGACTGAGAAGCTGTTTCAGTATGCAAGCCGGCACTTTCATTTGGTTTTTTATTACAGCTATAACAGCTGGTTAGCTGCATGGAATATTAATCTGCTGTGGGGAAAATTAAAAAAAAAGAAGTTAATATTCCAGCTGCTACTTACTGTTAATATACTATAAGAAAACTATTCACTGGAGAAGCTACCATGCAGACAGGAGAGACTTAAAAGCGAAGTTTTTAGAACTGACACAATTATACAATTTAATAAAACCATAACAGAAAACTATGCATAGGGCAAGACTGCAGTTACAACCCAATACTGAGTGTATTAGATAAACATAGTATTGGGGTTTTTGGGGGGTTTTGTGGTTTGTTGGTTTGGGGGTTTTTGTTTGTTTTTTTTTTTAAAAACACAGAATTATTCTTCTTGAGTGAGTGGAATTACTGACAGAAGGGTGTGCATTACAGCAAACAGATCACTTCTTTTCTCCACAATGCTCATCTCCACAGTTCCACCCAGCATAGATTATGAAGTTTCTGGAGCTACAAACTTTCCTCTCCTACTTCACAAAAAGCAGTCTAGTAAAGTATTTTAAACAAAAAACCTCAAATCAATCTGTTTATAAAATACAGTTCTCTTTTTGGTACTGACCATCCTCATGCTGGTCATTTGGGGACTGAAAGACTACAAAAATGAAGGAATTTGGTAAATCTCACTGGCTGAGTTAAGGTGTAAGAAGTGAACACTGCAGAGAGCTGCATGTGAATATATCCTTTTTCCTCCCAAATATTCAAAGTGTTCCATAATTGCCTCTGATCTGCATTGCTGACACACACCTGGCTATAGGGTCATAGCTGGAAAACCAGCTGATACGCAGCACAGTGTCAGTAACATGAGACAAAGAAGAACCTGAAGATACCAGCTTAATATTCTCAGTCACACATGGGCAGATAGTTTGAGTTTTTCTTGAAAAGCTGCTTTTCATGTCTTTTAAAAACATGTGGGAATAATACACTAGAACATCCCCCTGTAAGACAGAATAAATTTGTCCTGTGTATCTTCTAAACAACTGTCATGAACAAAACAAATCCCTGCTCCCTCCACCCCAATCAGACAAGATGTTGACATTACCTCTCTGGTACAGGATATTTAGGACATAACTTGGCAGCCCTTGTGTCTGTGGTATATTCTGATGGCTGTAGTTCATAGCTACACAGAGTGGATCCTGTTGAGAGGGGGAAAAAAAGATTGATGGTTAAAAAAAATTAAACCCAAATATTCCTATTCTGAGAGTCATACAATCAAATATTCCTGTTCTTTGCAGACTGTATTAAAATTGATATAGCTCCTGATTCTGCAGCTCCTCATATTATTATCACAAAGTTATACTACAGTTCCTCCTGTAATCGAACAGTGAATCAAGCCCAACGCAGGCTTCAGTGTCATGGAATGTCACTCTTCATCTTGCTTTGGGTCTTCCAATATCTGTGTATTCAAGCCAAAAAGGCTAATTCACAATGCAGCACAAAAGAGAAGGACATAAAACACTTCGAGGTCCCCTCCTCTGCTACTCCACCATGCTTTTCTTAATCACTGTTAATGCATGAATATTGCATAAGATGACATTCATTATAGAAAGAAAACATTGAAAGAAAGTTGGCAGAAAAGTAACACAAGCTCTGACTGCATTAGAAGTCTGAAGCTTTTCACAAGGCTGAACTCTGTCTATACACAAATCGGTACTGCACAATAAAAATCAAGTTGCCTACAACCGAATTCATAGTTTAAGCTTTCCTGAGTATGTGACACTTCCTAATTGAAGTACATTACCCAGACAGATCTCTTCCCGTTCATCTATAATTAAGATACTGAACATCTGAGCCAGCGTTTCTAGGAATATAGCAACTGCCAAATCAGACAGCAGCAGCTTTCTCTCAGAAACTGAAGAAATAAGTAAAATAGCCTACAACAGTATAAGCTGCCTATCCAAAGACTAATTTCTTCCCAAGCCTGTTTGCTTACAGGATTCTTACTCCCCAGTGCAAGGGCTCTGGAGACTCAGCCTCTAGTGTTCTTTTTTCCTACATAATAAACTAAGGAGATCTTGATCATCCTTATAAATAGTCAATTCTTTCCATTCGGAAGTCTCCTCCCCAGAAATAGTTTGCAGCAGAGATTTCTACAAACTGGATCTGAGTGATACATACACACTTCTACGCAAACTAGACCATGACTTTTGACACAAAACAGCCTTCTCTTGGCCTGCATGACACCAAACAGAGTATTATTTGTAGAATATCATTTACAGAAATCTTGTTTACCATTGCCACATTGCTAACTCTATGAAGAGACCCCTTCTATTTACAGATTGAAAGAGAAGACAGAGAGCAGAAGAGCAGGCTATCCCATGTAATCTCTGGGAATACTACTTCAGTACCACTTCTATGGTGGTTTGTTTCTGGGTGGTATTGTTTGTTTGTTTGTTTGTGGGTTTTGTTTTGGGTTTTTTTGGGGTGGGGGGCAGGTCCAGAACACCAAATACATCACTGAAGAAAGTTAAGATTTCCTGCAAAGCGAAGGTATCAGGTAAAACATCTGAACTCCATTTTCAACTATATCCCTTATATGAATTCTTATGTCTCTACTTACATTATGTGGAAAACATGGCAACAGATAAACAGACTTCAGACAAAACTACCTTCCTTACATCATAGTTGTAGACATAATATGTAAAAGTAATTATTATTCTTTTTGGACAAAAAGAACTTTGGGTCTACACTGCTCCAGAATTTTTTAATCTATTCTTGTTGATACAAAAACTTCCAGATCAAGTGCGTTTACAAACAACTCCAGAATCTTATGGAGGGGAAGCAGTAGAGAGAGTCATATGTTTATCTTAAACACAGAAAGAAAAATAAGATTGTAGCCATTAAATAAATTTATTTTATTACACCTTCAATATAGGTCAAAAGCTAAGTTATAAAGATGACTAGAATAAGAAGTCCTACTGGAAGAAGTTGGGGGGCTGTATATGGACAACTGTATACAGGTTCATGACACAGAAAGTTCGATGATAGCTTGGTAATTTTGCCATTCCACACCACCAGTGCTGAACCACAGCTTAAGTATCTTATGCAGAGCCCCTGCACCTAGATAAGCCTAAGGGACACAGTTGACCTGTGGATGCCCAAGTTTCCTAGTGACTTTTAGCAGGTCACCAGAAGGTAAAAAAGGGCAGGATTTGCAATAGCCAGGGAAGAAGGATCTAGGTTCCCTGCATATATGTGTGTCTGAAGACTGTATCACAAATATAAGCCGAGCAAAACCAAACCCTAGATCCTGATCTGCAACACAGGTCAGAATTCATTCAATGAGGACTTGTAGACTAGGATAACTCAACAAACCCCTGGCTGTGGAGGAAAATGGAGGCACCTTGTGAGGTCCCTCTGGAACACAACGGAATATTCCCTCCTGACATGCAATGGACGCCTCTGGCTGGCACTATCATCTCTTGCCTGGGAACTGCTCTCAGCGCTCTTTGGATGTTTTCCCTTCTGCTGCCCACCTCACATACCATGCTTCCTTGGACTCACAGCCAAGCAGAAAAGTATCTTCATGGAGCTTGTCAGACAGGGACATTAACCGCAACTAAACAAACTACCTGTCCATTAACTGCAACTAAACAAACTACCTGTCCAATAGCTGAAAACAATGCCCATGAGATTTATTTGTCCTTTTGTCCTATATAATTAGGCAGAATAAATTTTTACTGTTCCCGTAAGTATTTCTTTATCCTTTGAAAACCTTAGGACTTGTCTGATACCATGTGGGAGAGTACTACAACCTGAACGTGTGCTTGACTAATGTCTCCTCACATCAAACTTAAACTGATGTCTTAACAGAAGTGTCCTTGTCCATCAATAAATAAAAGTTTAAATTCTGTAAGGTGAAAGCAGGAGGAATGGACTGCTTCATCAAACTTTCCACCTCAAACTAGTTATTCTGGGTTAGTAGAGAAGGTCTTAGCACAGCCAGTCTTATGACTGCTGTTTGAGCTTACAAGGCCTGCAAAAGCTTAAAGAAGAACTCACATAATCTACCTTGCTGAGATAATTAGTTTACCAAAGACACTACTATTATTCCTAAATTATCACTAGTTAATGTTTCAGAAACATTATGGGTAGAACTTGAAGGACAAAGTAAAAAAATCATTAAAGTAATACGTCCTTTGCTTCCGACAGCAGTGAACGTATCTCTTCTGGAGAAATTATTAGGTGAACAATATCAAACTGTCCTAAAAAGATTGGATTTGAGATCCCAACATGTTTTAACTTTAAAGAATACTACTTCTAAACTATGTAGACCAACAGCTGCCGGGCAACTGGTAAGCACAAAGAGTTCACTGGGCCCACAGTGCTATATTTGGTGCTTTCACCTACAAAGTGATATTCTGGAGACAACACAGCTTCCATTCCATGTTTTCTTTTCCATTAATAGAATTGCTCCAGCCATCAGAATATTCTGGGGCCACGACTAGGGCAAAGTATCCCGAAAGACAAATTTTCCTGTCAACCTTAATATAGCTGCAAGAGCAAAAAAGCCACCACTTCCTTCAATAACCTTCTTTCTGTTTTGGCTAGGCTTGCATTACTAAGAAGCTGAACAGTGATTACCTCTGGCATTCTTAAAACCAACTACAATTAGCACAGATTACATAAATAAGCTGTAGAAAGCCAGGACAAAGATAGGGGAACAAACTCTTATTTCAAAGATGCTTTCCAACTGAGAAGGCAAATTATTAAAGGTCTTGTGTGTTCAGAGGACACAGCGCACAGAATGACAACATATAACCCTGATTCCCACAGCGGTACGGTAAATAGGAACTTCCATACTAACCCAAGCTGGTCAGATAAAACCGCTTCTAGAAAGCAGAGCTCCAGTACAGCTTTCCTTCCTGTATTTGCTGTGTTGTAAACAAACACAAAAACCTCTGCGACATCAGTATCACTGTCGATAGAAAAGTTTATAGCTTGAGAAATGCTAAGACTTCCTAAATCATCTGCTAAAAGGACCAGCCCACGGCATAAATCACTGACATTAATACTGCCCAAATTATAGTGATGGAAAGCAGACCAGGGGCTCTGGACCCCATTTTGAGCTGCTCAGCAGCATCTACTCATTTTTCAACAGTGTTAGCAGGAACTAAAATAAGGACTTTCAGATCTAACAACATGGATTCATATTCAGAGTGAAGGATTACAGGATAAAAATACAGAATTATTTAGAGATACCTGGGATAGGTTCAGCACCAGGAGAACAGTCACCTTAGGACTGCATTCTGCTTATGCTGGGCACAGCTACAAGCAGTTCCATATACTCCTTTTCACACACACATGGCAAAGCACAGCATAAGGTACTAGGAACCAGAGCTTTGGTAAGGCAATTTATATGATCTTCCATGTGTGGTCTCACTGTTCTGAATCTCACCAACAGTACGCGCATATTGCGCATGTATGTGACAAAACTGAATTCTAAAAGACTGTGTGATTAAGCAGAAGTTATAGTTAAAAAACTCAACATCTTCATAGAATCATAGAATGG